CCTTTTCCCTGTCCAGCATCAAATCCCATTTGGACCATGTGTCTTTTCATATGTAGATGTTTTATGGTTGGTTCTTTGCTTTGGTTGTCCCACGCCTGCCGAAATGAAGCAATTTATCAGCTCTGTATTTTAGAAGTGGAAAAGGAGAGTACAAAATCTCTAGTTGCAAGAGTGACAAAGGATGCTTTGGGATTGACTGTTCATTTTTACCCAGTGCAAGAAATAAAAAAGCAAAACCAAAACTGACTGGCCAGCAGTGAGTTCAAAATGAAGTGGAATGGTTATCCTCACAGAGTCTGAATATTCACTGGAGAGCTCTGCCATAGACTGTGGAAAGTTTTCAGAAGCTCAATGAGCTACTAGTGCAGCTTGGGGAGGAAGGGTCAGCTCTTTGGGGACTGCTATGTGCAAAGATGCCTTTTTTGGTCTAAAAAGTCCCTAAGCCACAACTTTCTAGAAGTTGGGAGAATATTTTTGTCTTCATTGACCTTTAGCAGTAGGCTACAATTTTGGAGCCTGAATTTTACTATTGACCCTCACTTGTGTGTCCTGATTCTAGTGCAAAAAGGGTGAGAGTGTTACCTTCAGAATTGTATTATCCATACCTTCTACAGCCTTGGTGATGCTGGTGGAGGGCAGTTGAGAGAAGGCACCATGTGTTAGATGTGGGGGGACTGGAGTCTGTCACCCCTTCTCTTCCTTCTCCCTTTCCCTGATCTGTGCTTGGAAAGTTACAGAGTGACTAAACTTTATTTTTAGAGATTACAAAGAAAGAAAGCATTAGACAGCTGGCTGCAAAAATATTTATTTGTGACCTTTGTCTACATTTGTGCAGTGCTTGTTGCTATTCTGGAGCATGTAGTTCCCCTGATTTCAGTCTTAGAGTTTAAGGAGAAACTGAAATGCTTAAAGCTTTATACATATGTATATTTTTTAAAAATTGCTTCCATATTTGGAGAAAAGGACTACTTCTGTTTGTAAAGTGCTGGCCTTATTTGCTTCCCATTTTTGTAGTAACATATGGACTGGAAAAGCAACTGGAGCACTGCTGGTAGAGGTTGGGCTGTAGTAGTCCCTTATTGGTGGCAGAACACCTCCTGCATGAGTCAGTCCTATTATGAACTAACCTGGAGAAAGGATTAAATTGATTTTCCAACTCTGTGGGGCACAAAGAATTAGCAGCATGTGTGAACAGGGTCTGGAATTGGGTCAGTGACCAGTGGGGTCTGGCCTCCAGCTTGTGATGGGAGCTAGCGGGTGTGCAAAGGTAGCTCAAGCCAAATGTTACTGGTCATGGTTTTTATTATTGCATCAAAATCTTCAGAAAATGGGAGTATTTTTAACTTTGCACCATGAGGAACTGTGTCTTCTAGAGATGTATTTTCAGTCAAAAAGACAGCACAATATAAATGTGAGAAATCCACTGCAAAGATGAAACAGTTTTACAGTGATTGAAAGAAAGGTATGGGTCAGTCATATCAGTTGTGTTTCTTAAGAATAACTCTGTTAGGACAAAGCTTTTCCTAATACTGCTGTCAAGTGATAAGGATAATTTGTTTTATTTGCTTAAAATTTTGTGGTTTTGCTCTGTGCTAACCAGTAAGTCTGAAAGCTGAAATACAAATACTAAACCTGGTTTGTTACACAGCTACCTTTTACCTTAGCTTTTGTTTTTTGGAAACACGTGTGGATTGCACCATATAGTTTTTAGTTTGTATAATTTAATGTGAGGTATGGGATAATGATGCCAGAGAGGAGAGGAGTGGAGAGGAGGAAAAGCACTGAACATCTCAGATGAAAGGCAGGTGCATGTGCTTTTCTGAAGTCATTGCAGTAGGGTTTGGAATAGCTCCCCCTGGAAAGGTTGGCTCTGTGCTGTCCTTTACACTGCCCTCTGAGATGCTGCTTGGGATGCTCTGTGGGAGAAGGCTCTTGCTGACGTGCAGAGTTGTGTGCTTGGCTTTTTGCTTGGCCAAACAGGTTCTTTACTTTGAAAAGGTTTCATTGTGGAAGTTCTGACCCATTTCTCAGCACATCCAAAAAAGTTCAGTGAAGTTAACTTTCCTGCGTACATACATTTTGGATGAGATTGCCTCCATTAAGAGCCCTGCCTGTGCTTCAGACATTGTGTCATATTGGATCTTCTGCAGCATAAGTTGTTGTGGAAATAAAGCCAAAATCGCTGCTGGGATAGGTATGCTGAAGTGACAGCCCTGTTTATCTACTGGTTTTGTTCTGGAACTATTAAGATTTTTCTAGGTTTTGTGGGGGGTTTTGTTTGTTTTATTTTAATTATTGCTAATACAAGTAACTTCTGAGTTAAGTAGGTCAACTATACCAAAATGACAAATTCAGTAATTGTTTTTGAATGTTGTGGCAGGAAATTGGTTGAGCATCAGCTCAGACACAAGCCTCTTCTGCTTTTACTCATCCTCTGAGCAAATATAGGTTGTTTCTGTTTAAAACCAGCAAGCAATGTTCAACAAGTTAGACAATTGTAATCATAAATCCCTGCAATAATCTGCGTTTAGTGAGCATAAAGTAGATGAGCTGGGAAAATTTGCTCTGCATCAGTCTTTCAAAAAAGGAGCCAGATTCCTCTAAACAGATCTTTAGCACAGAGAGGAGTTTTTCCCTGGTTTAACTGCCTTCCCTGATATTTTTAAGTGTACTGGTAGGAAACTGAGATTTTGTGGACATATTTGATTGGCAAGGAATAGTTTGCTTGTTTGTTTTTTGGGCTTTTTGGGAGCTCATAGCTGGCTGGTGTTAGCAACATGAGCAGCCTTTTATGCAAGCATCACTTGAACTATGCCAGTGTCTGAGAGTTTTTACCTCTTTCACAGACATACTGAATGTATGTAATCAGAGCCTATCACTTAACTAGAGTTTGGTATCCCAGAATGGTTGCAGTGGGAAGGGACCTGTGGAGATCTTCTAGTTACGCTTGGGATGACTCAGAGATGTGCTGCAGACCTTAACATTCACCACAGTTTTTTCACTACTGTACATAGATGCATGCTCAGCACAAGAGGAGACTCAACTCTAATTGTGCATTGACAAATAATTAACTCAAATGTTTTTGTGGACATGAAAGGCTAAAACAACCCTGCATATTCTCAGGGTACATGGGGACTTCATAGCTAAGGTCCTGCCTGTTTGCTCCATTTTATTTTTTATCTGTTAGCAGAGGTCATGCAGGAGCAGTCTCCAGGGTAATTTTGTGCAGATCCTTTGTGCCATGCTGAGGTATCCTCTCAGAAAATAAATTAGTTAGGGGATGGATGGTATGAAATAACAGGCCTTTAGTCCTGTCTTTTGGTCTATAACGTGACCTACTTTTGATAAAAATGAATGACAAAAGTGACTGATTTAAGCTGTGATTAACCAAGATATTTTAGGAAAGTGTGAAATATGCACTGGCTTAGCTTTTCTCACTTGCACTAATGAAAATTTCTGAGTGGGCTTCTGTATTGAAGTTGGCCACAAAATAAAGTTACTTAAGTGAGGAAAGGAACTTTGTGTGCTTAAAATACTGCAAGGGACAAAAAAAAGCTTTACTAATGTGTGGGATGATGTGTACCTAAATAATAATAATAATAATAGTAGTAGTATTGTTATTATTTAAAAATATAAACTTACTTTGCCAATTATTGCTGGGTTTGGGACCTGGTAAGACTCTTGCATATCCTTCCCTCTGAGGATGTCTTATTTTAGACATGCCAGTTTTAAGTGCAGAGTATAAGGGTTTTTTCGTCTGTAACACCCTAGGAGCAAATGGTAAGATCACTGATACATTGCACGTGTTTTTGAATATCTGTCTTCTCACTCTCAGTCAATCACCAACATAATTTCAGGCTATAGAATTGCCTTTCATGTGGAATTGTGTCAATGTATCAAGAATTTTTCTCCAGGAAAACAGGGTAGTCTGGCATCACCCATCTTTCTTTATCACTACCACTTTACCGCTTTGACTACCACAGGTATTGCTGTAACCACTATCACATTGATTAGGACTTAATTCCCTTTAATCAGCGGTGCTGTCTTAAACATGGCAGCAACAGCAGTTGTAGCTCATAACAGGGCTTAAAATGGGCCTTGTGTGTGGGTAAGAATTCCAGGATTTTTTTTATAGCTTGTGGTCATTCAGCTGGATAAATGTGGAACTGCTTACACAAAGTGTTGTTTTGGTCCTTGTTAGCAAATGAAGTTCTGGGAAACAGAGGCTGTTTAAGTGAAATCACGAGTTCTATAGTTCAAAGATGGCAGAAGTTCATAGTGTGCAGATAGGAATGTGATTCCTATACAGCATTTATGGCTTTCATGGGAATTCCAGATTTAGATTCATAGTTACAAATAATTTAATTTTTTGTGAGTAGAGTGATGGTCTTGACTATATGTAATGCAAACTCTACAATTCAACTCTGAAATGTCTCAGAGAACTTATGGATAGGTGTTAGGATTTTGGACAGCCTCATACTTCAGCAGAGTATTGCTTGTGTCTCTGTACCATGTAAATCTTATGGTTTTAGAAAATTTTATTGACCAGGCAGCTTAAGCTTAAGCTTGCTGCCTTTCAGGTTTCTGAAATTCCAGTGTGCCAAAGGAGTCCTGAGGCTTTGGAAACTGATTTTTAAAAAGGCTGTGCTTGGAGGATAATATTATATGCTCCTCAAGCTGCCCAGCTCTGCTCTTTAGTTGGTGCTTCTCTAGGAGGCATTCCTCTCATGCTTTTGTTCTAATCTATTTCTTCACAACATGAAAGAAAATCATCTGTTTCATGTGTTCCAGGAGTTCCTTTCATCCATCAAAGTGATGTTCCTTACTTTGTGATGTAATTGCCTATATGAGCTTGCTTTTGAGCTGTAAAACTTAAGTATTGTTTTTGTTGGCAGGGTTATAATGTTTGCCCATTTACCAAGTGCCATTGATTGATAACAGTAATGAAGTAACTGAAGGATTTCACCTGTTTTCTTCTCTCATTTTTCTGTTTCTCACAGGTTCATTGCTAAACCATGTGCCTTAGGCCTTAAAGTCCAAGCCAATGGACCCCAGAAAGCTCAACCTAATGCTATCTTGGAGAAGGTTTTCACAGCTATTACAAAGGTAGTGTGTCTGACTAAAATACTTACCTTATGAAGTGGGATGTGGCACTATAAACTATGTCTGAGCAAAGCAAGGCTAACGGATAAACTCAGTGTTGCAGTGCTGCATTTTGCACCTCAATTCAGAAATTCAAATATTGGTGATGTCATTAATATGCCAGCTTGAGTGGTTATATATCCATTTGTGATGTCTCCTGTAAGTTTTCAATTTTAAAAAAATTGTCACAGAAACACCTTGTAGATGCCATATGGCCACCTACATATTTTTGCTTCTTATCTGTTTTTGCTTCTTATCTATTTTGTATCAATTTTTGCTAAATTGTGGTGGTTTTTAGTAAAAAAAAGGGCTCATTGTAAGCCAGTAATATTGATACTGAGTTTTCCATGAAACTTCAAAGCTACTCCTTCTAGGGAAAGGCCTGTCTTGCTGGTGTCCCAGCTAAAGGGGAACAACATAGAAAAGTGGGAGAAACTGACTGAAAAATGTTTTATTTGCAGCTTGCATATCTTTCTTGTACAAGATCCTCCCCCACAACCTGCATATCTGTCTCTACATCTCTCACCATATGACATCTCAGCTTAACCTGTTTGTTGTTCTGTCCATGCTTTTCAAGCATCCCAAATTTTTCTGCAGGAGCTTTCCATTCCCAGCTTGGCTCCAGACTGCAGCTGGGCAGCAGTGTAAACTTCAGAGAGCAGTAAAGTCATAAAGGGAAAAATTGGGTTCAGTGTCACAGACAGTGAAATAGGCTGTCTTGCTTGTGTGTCCTACACTATCCAGAGATCACCATGGCATTTGCTGTGACTTTTGTCCTGTGTTTAGGGAGGGAATTGCATGTGCCTTGTTTCTGAAAGTGGCAGGATATTCTCTCACACAGACTCAGCTGAAGGAAGAATGCTTAGGTTTTGTTAGTTGTGGGGTTGTTTATTTGTTTGTTTTTAATATTTCATCATAAAGTCTGGTAGTCTGACACAGGGCCTGAAATACTTTTGTTTGGAGCTCTTTATACTCACAGGTATCTGCTTTCCTACAAGAATCTGGTAGCTGCTCTCAGAGAAACTGTCCAATTTAGCTACCTGCCTTTTTTGAATCCTATATAGCAAGTCTGTGAATTGAGCAGTTTGCTCTAGTCAAACTCCCAAGAGCTGCATCAAACATTTCATTTTTCTAAAGTTACAGAAATTGCTTTTCTTAACCTCCCATTGAAAAACTAGTAGATACTTTGGTTGACTAAAAAACTTTATTGAGGTGGATGGCAAATACTTCAACTTTCTCTTGTCTTATCCTTTCATTTCCCTCTCTTTCCTGTGTTTTCTTGGAGGCTGATAGACAAAACTTCAGCCTAACAGAAATTTTGCTGGTTTGTGTCTTGCAACAATTAAAAATTTAAAGCTCTTTGTTGTAAGAGCTTTTGTACTTCATTCAATGGAAGTAACTTGTTTGCAGAAATAAAGCTGAAGTTCCAGAAAACAGATTGTGCATTTTTCTGTTTATTTAAAAAACTGTATGATCAGGAGAAATATATAAGTAGTACATATGTGTCACTGTACATGTCGAATTGTTGTATGATTGGAGATTTGTCCTGTACTGCTCTTCAAATTAAGGACTCATTTTCTTTTGCCTTACCTCTACTCTGGTTTGCAGCCATGCTAATGGTATGAGACTTCTACATTTTCTGCTTTGGAGAATATTTGTGTGTATTTAGTTTTACAGAAAACAATTCTGTCTCCCTGTTGTCAAGGTGATGTTCCTTTTGAAGTTGTCACTGTGTTCAACGACCTCATTTTTGAACATTATCATGCAGAAACATGGGACTTACCTTCTTTGTGTGTCAGTCAAACCATCTTCCTTAGTGCAACAGTCGACAGGACAAAGATCCTGATGTAGGTATTAGTGTGTGGAAGGCAGTGGGGTGTTTGTAAGAGCCACTGCTCCAGAAATGCATGGCATTTTATAGCTGCTAAACTTCACTTCCAAGTTGCAAGCAAGTTTCAATCCCATTGTCCCTTTAAAGTTTTTTATCAGTAATGGACCTGCGTGTCATATTACAGCAGCTGTCCTTCTAGATTAGTAATTGTCATTGTAAATGTTTTCTGATGGGAATCTGCCAGTAGAGATTTCGGTGAACATTTTTCTGTGTATCCATGTGTCTGACAGACAGCCTTGGTAAGAAGGCAAGAGTCAGTTATGGTGGTTCTGAATTTAAAGTGTTAATGCAGTTGAACTAGAAAATAATTTTTGTGCTTCTCTGTTTTGTAGCATCCAGATGAGAAGAGGCTGGAAGGCCTCTCCAAGCAGCTGGACTGGGATGTACGCAGCATTCAACGTTGGTTTCGACAAAGGCGCAACCAGGAAAAACCCAGCACCCTTAGGAAGTTCTGTGAGAGCATGTAAGGATGCATGTTCTCTTCTTGAGTCTTGTTGAGCCTGTGTTCTCATCAGTTTGCCCCTTTGTTTTTCTCAGGTACTTTTGGAGACAGTTAGAAAATTATACAAATTGATAGAATATAACTAATGCGTTAATTAGTTATATCCTTCGTTCTCCTGAAGGAGTCAGATTGTGCTTTTCGGGTATTTTCAGTGGTCAAAGGCTTCCAGAAATCATGTTGTTGTGATTCTGTACTATCAAGGCACCAGCCTGATCCTTTAAGACAAATCACCTGGTGTTAGTGTGCTGTCCTTACAGCACTGCCTTTAGCCATACAAGCTGATGGACATATGAGGTGGAGGAGTAAAGATAAAAGGCAGTTGGGTTGTTAAATAAAAAGAAGACAAAAGAGAAATTGTTTAAAGATGATCGTCCTTTATTAAACAGAAGAACCTAAGTGTCAGAATGCTTAAGTAATTTATTTGGTACTTACAGCTAAAATCCTCCTTGCTTAGTGTTTAATAAATGAAGGCATGATGAGGTTATGTATAGACTTGGTCATTTTGTTGCCAGCAGCTGCTGGCCTTAAGAGTTACCAATTTTTGAGATCAGTGAAGAACAACCTTTTTTTTCTGCAAGGGTTGTGGTTGTTAACTTGTTGACTGTGGAGTCTTGGGAAAAATTATTGCTTTATTAGCCTTAGAGGTAGCATATTTGGGTGGCATATTTTGCTTCCTCTGTAACTCAGCTCAGAGACCTCGCTCTCTTGCACTGGTGCCAGGGCATTTGGGTGAACCTGCAGGTAGAAAAAATTTAGGCATACCATGAAACACTGGCATGGATAGGATGGTATTGGGTGCTGAATTTGCTCCTTTGTGACATACATTATCAAAATAGAATGCAAATGACAGCTATGAATGCAGACTGGAAGGTAAGGTCAAGCTGTAGTAAAGTGCTGACAGAATATAGTGACAGCTTTGTTTAGGGGGAGCCACTGGCATTTCTGCAATATGTGTATTTATTAGTAATGATAAAACTTGTCCAAAAAGGAGCAAGATGGCCTAAAGAGTAGGTCGATACTTCAGGTTCTATCTGTTCATGATTTGCAGGAGGTGCAGTGGGAGCTGCCTCTCCATTTCTGCATATACGTAGTGCTGTGGGAATGTGGTGTTATCCAACCAATTGTGTGTGCCTTGTCCTGGGAGCATTTCCAGTGATGGACTGTGTGCCACCAGCTGACCTGACACATCTTGGACAAAGTTGTAGTCAGACTACTAGTGGGAACCCAGGGTTACCCTTTATCCCCTCAGTATGGGTTCAGTTAAAGTGTTGTTTAGTTAAATCTGTCCATCAGAGCGCTAAGCGAGGTACTTCAGAAAGTTTTCACAAAGGAAGTCCTTTGGTATGAGGCCTATAGCCTTTTCATAGCTATTGAGTTAATGGGGTGGCTTTTCAGAGATATGATGACTGTGTGTGACAGGTGCTTTGAAGCTCTGAGCTACCTGAAGTATGTGTTCCCGCTGCAGTCATGGGAAGAAGAGCACTCAAGTCTTCAGTAATTCAGGTGCCAATGGAGAGTTTCGACAGAACCAAGTGTGCCCTTACCTCATAAGCAAGAACAGAGCAAGCAGAGTGACATGTGATCTCTGTCTACACCTTCATACTGCTGAGATGCTGTTGTCCCTCCAGAGAAGGCTTCAGTTCTGCTGGGAACAGCACTACCTGAGTGTGGCTTGGGAAGAAAAATTAAAGAACCCATAGCAAATGTGGATCTGCTTAAAAATAACTCCAACTCTTTTTACATGGAGACGATTCAATTTACTGCTAGACAAAGTGTTCCTTGGGCCCAGAGTGGCTTTTCCATGATGAAAGGGAAGAGGAGCTATGCCAGAAAGGCTGTAGGCCATTTTTGACTGCCTTATCTTTCTTGTCAAATGAATAGCGTGGGCACTATGTAAGGTAGAGTAACTTCAGTGTGACAAAAGCTGAGAGTGAAATTTAATGATAAACACACTTGCCTGAATTGAATGATGCCAGAGATCCAGCCCCAAATGCACTGTGCCAGTAACTTCATTACTAGATTCTTATTGTCACAGATTTCTCACTTTCTCAAACCCTTCCCTTCTTTTCAAGCAATTACAATTCTGGTCATGAACAGAGTGCAGAGAAACCCCAAAACCTACACTGCTCACTGCTTCTTGAGGGGAAAGGGGTGTTTGGTGTTATTTTTGGTTTTTGTTTGTGTGTTTGTTTTTGTGAGGGTTTTATGGTTTTGTTTTGTGTGGTTTTTGTTTGTTTTGTTGTGTTTTGTTGTATGTTTGTTTGGTTTTGGGGTTTGTGTTTGTTTTTGTTTTGGGGGGTATTTTTTGTTGATTTTGTTGTTTTTTTTCCAAATGGAGTAATTCTTTTGCTGCCAGTCTTTGTCAGATGTTCAGGCCATGGGCAGATGATGGTTATTTGAAGAAAAAGGCAGTATTGAAATCTCCTGTTTATAGATACTGTTTGTCTCACAGCATTATAGTGAAGATAAATTACTTTTTCAGGAACCTTAACCAGTATTCATGCCATAGAGTTTTGTCTGTCAATCTGAAAGAGAAGGTGTAATTTGATTATTGGAGCCATAGAGACCCTAATGGTGAGATATCAGTGGTATTACGTAACTGCTTAAGCTTTCAGATGTTATGGTGATAAGTATTTATATTAAATAGATAATTTCACTAGGTGGTGATTAATGTATATAATCACCAGGTGGTGGTTAATGATCCAGTCAGAAAGTAATAAGTGCAGCACTGAGTATAATTTTACTAGCAAGTCAGTCCTTGTATCCCAAGGATTTGGTGGTTCTAGCATGAAGTCTGGAGTTAGTCACCGTTTGTAGTCACTAGGAAAGGTACCCACCTAGTATAACCTCAGATTGCAGAGCTCAGGCACTTAGCCTACTGTATTAGCTGCAGGGGATAGTCTGTCCGTAGCTTTTCTTTCTATTTTATGAATTTAGACTATTTGCACTCTTTTCTTCAACTTGAAAGATTCAAGATGCATAAAGGAGGAAAAAAAGTGGTCAACTGAGTGTGCAAAATGGACTTCTCTATTTCCATGTATTTCTGTTGGGTTTTTATTATTCTTTTCCCTCTGTTCCTATGGCACAGCCTAACATCAAGAATATTACTTTGCTTATTGCCACACAGAAGACAGGATCCAATAATGTCACGTTTGATGTGTCAGAAAACCAATGCAGTAGTGATTCCCAAGCCACTTCCAGTGTCTTCCCAGTTTCAGTGTGTTGTTTCTGCTCATACTACCAGTGTGTAGCCATGTCTGGTTTTCTCAAAGAAAGAGACAGCATTCTGTCCTCTCCCCTTGTTGTCCGGCACAAAGGGAGAGAACCTGTGATGCTGTAAGTTACTAGCCTGGGATTTTGGAATGTCATCAGGCCGATGACTTGTCTGTCCTACAGCTATGTACATTTAAGCAAGCTGTTTATTAGAGACATTTATATGGTTTCTAAGGAGTGTCTGGAAGAAACATATGGCCAAGAGAGATGTTTTGAATTTATGCAACATTCTGCGTGTGAAAACATGGAAATGTGCAGACTGAAGAGCCAAAGATCTATTTTTACCCCTCTTTTATTCTCTAGAAGAAGCTTGGATACTAAATTGTCTGTAAATAGGGTGTCTTTTAGTTTTGATGTAGGGGAGAGAGGACCCTCTGTCTTGTATCCTAGCTAGACATTCTTTTTCTTAAGGAATTGAAATTTTGTTTATGCATGTTGCTTTGGAGGAAGATTTTATCTATCTATGACTGTATATATCTGTGTGTGTGTGTGTGTGCGCACATGTATGTGTCTAGATATAGAGAAATACTGATGGGTTTTTTTTTTTTTTTGCTTGTTACACACATTTGTGGGAAAATTTTGTGGGCTGTTGGCAACTTCTTGGGCATACTGCTTTTCTCAACTATCAGAGTAATTCTCTCCTGCAAAGTTGTACTGGAAAAATAACTGTGCAAGGGAAAGAAATGAAGACAGCTGTTTGGTTGTTGAAATTCTGAACTGTGCTGATGCACATGATAAAAAAAATGTGTGAAAGAATTTATCAGTCTGTGCTTTGTGTTGAACAGTAAAGCATTAGAAAATAAATAGGCTTTTAGCTCTGAGTGTTTAATAGCATCAGGCTCTCCTAAGCCAGCTTCTAACACACTTCTGATCTGAGCAAAAATTTGTGGTAGATGGTACTTTGGGTCCATTTAATTCTGATTTGGCAACTGCTCTGGTGCTACATGGAATGAAGGACTAACCAGTGCTTCATGACCAGAAAAGCAGAGAGGGGATGGGTCTGTGAAGACAGGCAACATGCTCTGCAGCAAGTGTGGTAGTTTCTCTTCAGTGGCCACAGAACTGCACTATCTCCCTTGTTTTCCTTTGCTGTTTTCCATGGAATGGGAATTTCTGTTACTTGCGCAATCACATATTTGGTATAGTGTTGATAAGTGGATTATGACATGAGAGGCAAGTAGGCTCGGGTGTTGGCAGAGTCAGATTTGTGAGGCAGCTTGTGGATGAAGGACATAGGTGTTCAATGAAACGTGAAGGGAGTTGCGGTCTGTGAAATTGTTCCAGAACAGGGAAGATGTGACTTTGCTGAGTGCAAGAGGTATTTATTATGGCTTCAGGTGGTAGGGGAGTTGAGAAAGAAGACTTAATTGCTTGCAAGTGGTAACTGAAGTGCAGAGTAACAAAGATGATCTGGCAATTTTTATCTATACTAAGCATGTAAAATACTGCAGTTTTACAATAGAATTGTAAGAGTTGCATTTAGACTCTGGAGTTGATACATTCAAAGACCTATTACTCTCTTAAAAGAATTATGTCTAGTAACATCACTAAAGAGAGATGTGCTTGAATGCAAGGCCTCTGTAGAAAGTAAAAGTGAATGAGGCATTTATATTAGACTTATGTCAAGGAAACTAGAGCTATGCAAAAAGGCCTGGAGTCAAGTTTGATTATGTAAAAATCAAGACAGA